TCTAAGCTGACATCTTGGTTATGAATTAAGTCTAAGCTGACATCTTGGTTATGAATCAAGTCTAAGCTGACATCTTACTCCAGTATAACAACCTTAAACTGGTTAAGCATGCTGATATTGAATAAATAAAACAAAGTAAATGTGCTTTTGTGGTATTTCTGGTTTAGAGGAATAGTGAGTGGCACACAGGTAAGTTACCACTTCCTTCACTCCCATAACAAGAGGTTCGAAGATTAGGTTGAATGGAATATTAATGTGAAAACGAGCACAAAAGGGAAAAATCAAAACAACTTACACGAAAATACAGCTTATTATAGCGTACATTGGGTCCTTTCTCGCTAATCTTCTTGAAAGCACCAAAAACTGCGCTTACTATCCACATTTCCTCTCTCTCTCTCTGTAGCTGACCAATCAGAAATAGGACTACAACAATCCGAAAGTATCTTTACTCTATGTGACAGTTGCAAAGCAGTCCTACATACCAAAGGTCAAGCAAGACACAATGTAACTATCCCATGCAGATAAGTTACTTGACTGGTCAAGATGCAAACAAGAGAGAGTCTTCAATAATTAGAATTTTGAACTAATAAAGTCCAGGTTCTTGAACTACTTTAATCGAAGTGAGAGATTTGGTCGTCGCTATTTTAAGGCACCCACTGCTCCATGGAGCTGGATACGATTTTGTGGAAACAGGACGAGAACCATGGATCTCGGATACAAGGTCTGTACGCGTTAACAAATAGGCCACGCCTGGCTTTTCAAAACTACAATATTTTGTGAAACCATGTCAAAGTTTGTTCGAAGTTAATTTGTTGGTTGAAATAATACCATTTAAAATCAAATTACGCTTAAATATTTAATAAATTTGTAAAAAGTTGCAATTAATGCTTGGATCTTAAAAAAAACGAAACGATTACTTATCTTTAAATGTCGTTTGGAAATAATAATGTGAATATGAAAAGAATTTTTAATAAACAATATATTTAAAAAATTAACCAAGAGATATATATCAACTTTACACTTTACTGTTACAGTTAATATTTTTTGTTTTAAAACAGATTACTTAGATAATTCGATTTTTAAAACGAACAGTCACAATACAGTAAAAGTCTACATAAACCAAAATTTAACGATTTAAAAGAAATAATAATTGTTTGTTTTTTGAATTTTGCACAAAGCTGCACGAGGGCTATCTGCGCTAGCCGTCCCTAATTTAGCAGTGTAAGACTAGAGGGAAGGCAGCTAGTCATCACCACCCACCGCCAACTCTTGGGCTACTCTTTTACCAAGGAATAGTGGGATTGACCGTCACATTATAACGCCCCCACGGCTGAAAGGACGAGCATGTTTGGTGTGACAGGGATTCGAACCCGCGACCCTCAGATTACGAGTCGAGAAATAATAATAGATTAGCAGAGATCCACAAAATATTTGAGGTCAATTTAATATCTTTATTTCAACGGCACTTCTTTAAATACAGGATTTCTAGAATAGTACAAATTACTTCTAATTGCAGACACCGAAAGCTATAGGTCCACTTGTCTTAACCCTAACGTTAGTTAAGTCTTTGTTAAGGACGGCCTATATTCGATAAAGAAGCCCCCCAGTGGCACAGCGGTATGTCTGCGGACTTACAAAGCTAAAAAAACCGGGTTTCGATACCCGTGGTGGGCAGAGCACAGATAGCCCATTGTGTAGCTTTGTGCTTAACTTCAAACAAACTTTTCACAAGTCACCAAATACCACGTGCACACAAGTTACCAAATACCACGTGCACTTTTGTACCATATAAACCTCCTGGCAATGGGATCTCGAGTCAAATAAAATAAACTAAAAAACTCGCTCTTACCAACTAAGTTATCCCAGCTGCTGGCATGTTAAATAATATTTGTAAACATGAAAACTATATAAAACATCATGAAAGTTAAGTTATTAAACAATTCATATAATTACCAACATGCTAGTCAAAGACATTCGTAGACTTTGTTTACAGCAGTATACCGCGATATAAAAAAAATGTCATCATTAGATATGAGAGCCGTGATGAAGATTCGATTGTTCAAGGTTCGAGTCGCAATATTCCAGTGAACATGCTCTGCACTTTTAACTCTGGAGGCGTTATAACCGTAACAGTAAATCCCGCTATTAGTTTAAGAGTAGTGTGTAGGTAGTGGGTGCTGCCGACAGCCATCCTTCTAGCCAGCCGTTCGGAATTAGGGATGGCTATGTCTGAACCTTGGAGTCTCTGACCTGTCTGTTTACTTATGTTTTTAAAACAGTGTCGTTACCTTTCGTTGACTACTATATTATGTAAAAGTCTGTAAATGATATGAAGAGCTTTTTTTTGTTTTGCTTTATTTGCTATTCTTGTATTTCAGTAACTGTTTTCCATGTTAACATTACCACATCTGTAAATGATATGAAGAGCTTTTTTGTTTTGCTTTATTTGTTATTCTTGTATTTGAGTAATTGTTTTCCATGTTAACATTAACACATCTGTAAATGATATGAAGAGCTTTTTTTGTTTTGCTTTATTTGCTATTCTTGTATTTCAGTAATTGTTTTCCATGTTAACATTAACACATCTGTAAATGATATGAAGAGCTTTTTTTGTTTTGCTTTATTTGCTATTCTTGTATTTGAGTAATTGTTTTCCATGTTAACATTATCACATAGAAAACGTAATAACTGTAAAAGTTTTTATTTATTTGGTTTCCAGTTGATCCAAAAATAAAAATAAAAAGGTCTTTATTGTGTAACTGCAGTTACTTTAGAAGCTGTATTGTATATATCTAATCAGTCTCAAAAATAAAATATTTGGTTCGCCCGTGTTTATCAGATTCATATACGCATGCGCTTATATATATATATTCTGATAACAAAACCTGAATCAGAAAAGGTCGAAACTTTACGAATTTTTAAAATATCGCAGTTTTAATGTCAAATGGTAACTAACCATGAGGAGTTTTCCCTGTTGTCTAAATGTAATTTACCATGTAAAGTTTCTCCTGATGAGTGTGGTTTGAAAAGGTAATTTAACACGAGTTTCTTGTTGCATTAGCATCAACTTTTTCAAATGATTGGGTGTATTTTTGGAACACCACCAGGGTGCTCAGCAGCACTTGCGTCAATAACATTAAGAGTGCTTAAGCACTTACAGCACCCACAGAGCTGGTGCCTATGTCTCCTGGTAACTCTGGTGTAAAAAGTAATTAATCACGAGGAATTACGAGTCTCGTGGTGACTCTGGTGTAAAAAGTAATTAATCACGAGGAATTATGAGTCTCGTGGTGACTCTGGTGTAAAAAGTAATTAATTGTGAGGAATTTTACCTGGTGAAAAAGGTTATTTATCATTAGGATTTTACGCTGGGGATTTTAATGTAAGAAACAAATCTACTATTAGAATTTGTGTGCTAATGTTACCTCAAATCTTAAAGCCATAAAAAACAAACCCACAAATGAAAAACAACCACTGTGATTAATAATGTTCCACATAGCGAAATAGCAAAATCAAAGCAACTGACTTTGATAAAACGCTAGTGTTTCTTTCGCAAATTTGAAGCAGTATAGCACGATAAAGTAAAAATAACAATTCCATTTCTGTTCATTTTCTGGAAACACAAGAGACTGGCTGTTAAATGTGAAACTGTAGAAACTACGCGTAGCACATCAAAACAACTAAAAACAGCACTTAAATACAACAGGGTTCAAAGCACTGTTTTATTCTTGTGTTTTTTTAGTCGTATTGATAACATGCTAAGAAAGACATCGTGTTTTATGTAAATTAAGTAAATCTGTGTGTAGCTTATCAAATATTTTGCAAATTGCACAAACGTTTGAACTGTTATTTATAATTTCCAACCAAACATAGAAACAACAGCGACATGTATTCATAAACACATTTTGTTAAATAATTAGTATTTAGTAGCTGAATCGAGGAAGAACAAAATTTATATTTAAAAATAAACTCTTTTTGCGTAGAGTCAATATCAATAAGGATATCGACTGCAAAGAAATCCCAGGGACCAGGTGCAACTGACCAATCAGAGTAATCTGTAAGGGATCATGTGACATCAAAACATCAAATAGAATTCTTATTGAAATTACACTTGTGTTGTTTACTACAAATTTTACTTAGGTCTAGAACAGCGCCATCAATGTCGTCATAGCGTACTATAAAATCGAAGCACTACACGTGGGTTGCTAACATTCGTTTACCAAAACAAACCAAGATTGAACAGAGAATACAGGAGTTTCGTTGCCAACGTGAAACAGACCGATTGGAGATAAAAGAACTTAGCTTTATATAATGAAGACCAACCTACTTTCCGTAAAATGGAAGGGTTCAGCGAAATCAACGAAGTCATAAAATAGAAGCATATCAAACTATCCGAAAGATCCAAAAATTCAGTTTACGTTCGTCCAAATGGCCGGTAAACATAAGTCAACAGATGGACAACAACAACAGTTAACGGTAAGCTGTTTCTAACCTGTTAAAGATATAAGTTAACTAAAACAAATAGTAGTGTTTTGCAATAATCTCTAAAACCAGATTCAAAACTGAAATATAATAAAAAAACTGAACTTGCTATCAAACGTATCGTTCCTCAGATTTCTGCTCAAAAGAAATAAGTTCAATTTGGAAAAGACTGGCCTGATTTTGAGGGCGAGGGATGACCCTCTAGTGGAGCTCTGGATTTCAAAGCTGCCAATCCGGATTTCAATTCGTACGATACCATACAATATTTGCGACCTTTTTTTTTTTTTAGCTATGAGCGCGTTATAATAATAACAACCAATCCCTCCTCAGCGTGGATGGTGGGTTGAAGGTGCTGCTGACCGACTGCCTTAAATTAGGGACGGTGCCAGATAGGCCTAGCAGCTTTGCCATAAATACAAATTATAACCACAGACACGCTCCTAAACTTGTCGTAATGTTCCTCACGTTTATTTAAGTTAGATGTGTTTTGATTTGTTCTAAAGAGGACAGGTTTGACCCGATCTTACATTTATCATAACACTCCTTATAGTTAATTCAAGAGAAGACAAATCCGACTCGTTCCAAATGCTCTTCATGCTTTCATTATGAAAAGTTGATCTCACTTCAAGTTTGCCATTCTCAGTCTTGTTCCAACGTGTCCTCGTGTTTTATGCAATGCTTCTCAGACTTTTCTAAAACAGAAAAAGAGTTCTAGTTTTCTCAGACTTTCAAATGTGAGCTAACCCTAGTGTAACATTGCGCGAAATTCTGGAACAAATAACGAAAAGAGATTTATTAGCTAGTTAAATAAGCTCACGATAAAACATTTACTACGTTGTTTACTCAGTGACTCCAGATTAATGATATTGACTATGTTGTTTACTCAGTGATTCCAGTTTACTGACATTTACTACGTTGTTTACTCAGTGACTCCAGATTACTGATATTGATTATATTGTTTACTCGCTGGTTCCGGGTTACTGATATTTACTACGCTGTTTATTCAGTGACTCCAGATTAATGATATTGACTATGTTGTTTACTCAGTGATTCCAGTTTACTGATTCACTACGCTGTTTACTCGCTGGTTCCGGATTACTGATATTTACTATAGTGTTTACTCAGTGGTTCCAGTTTATTGTTATTTACTACGCTGTTTACTCGCTGGTTCCGGGTTAATGATATTATAACTATCAGTAAACTGGAACCACTGAGTAAATAAGATGATTGGTAGTGTCCAATTATAAAATGTTTGTTCTCAAATTCCTTATTGCATGAATGAGTATGTTAAATTTGATATGATGATGAAAACAATTAATTAACAAGTGGATGATGCTCAAATGTGAATTTTCATCGTATGTTCTTCAATATCAAACAATCATCGGTTCTTTTTATTAGTGTTTACAGTGGATAAAAATCGATCTTGATATGTTATATTACAATGTAGAGGCCTAATCTATTATTTGATTCACTATTACTCCTGCAGCAGACTAGTTTCTCCGAATTCACGGCTCATCAGTGCTGCTTGGAAGAGACAAGCAAGTAAATAAAAAAGGCCTCATATAGCGGTGAAATGTGAACGCGTTGGTACGTCATATGTTATCCAAACATGTAGAATATTTTAGGTTATTAGCAGTCAGTAAAGGGTTATATATCAAAACTAAAGAAATCGTAGCATAGAATATTAACATGAAGCTGATATCTGTACCACATATCGTTTCGTTTCAGGTTGCTCTACGAATTCGGCCAATATTTGCCAACGAAGCGAACAGAGGACCTGGAGTAGTGGCTAGAGCAGTTGCTGGGAAAGTAAGACCGTTTATTTTACTTTTACCTCTCGAATAATTGTGTTAGTTGAGCTTTTGATTTGTATTTCAATATCAAGAGTTAGGTGTGGAAAATAAAGGGGTCGTTTGTACACTGTTTATTACACTTAGTTGGTGTAAGAAGGCATTAAAAAAAACCATGATATAACTGAGGGGCATGTCACTGCTGTTTTACATTTATTTTGTATAAAGAATATTTCAATAGCGTGTGTCTTAGATTTTGTTGATATAAGGAGTATTTCAATGGCGTGTGTCTTAGATTTTGTTGATATAAGGAGTATTTCAATAGCGTGTGTCTTAGATTTTGTTGATATAAGGGGTATTTCAATGGCGTGTGTTTTAGATTTTGTTGATATAAGGAGTATTTCAACAGCGTGTGTTTTAGATTTTGTTGATATAATGGATATTTAAATGACGTGTATTTTATATTTGTTGGTATAAACGGTATTTTAATGGCACGTGTCTCAGAATTGTTGGTATAAGGGGTATTTTAATGGCGTGATTCTTAGATTTTGTTGGTATAAAGGATATTTCAATATTATGAGCCATGTTTAGTACTGTTTTAGAACTGGAAATATTTCGTTTTGATCTTATTTCACCATTTAGGGTTATTGGCTTTATTTAGCCCACTTTCACTTGATGTTCGTTCCCCCCTGTAATTTTCTACCTACCAATCAAAGAAATGAGAAGATAAATTTTTCTTCGTTCACAAGTTGATTTGTCTGTGAACAATTTTACGAACAACACCTGACCAGTTGTATGCTTACAGTTCTATATTTAATGTGGCACCCAGAAGCGAAACTTGAGTGATTCTTGTTTTGACCTTAACCGCTCTGTTAACAGGAAATTCGTATTAGTATGTGTTTTTCTTGGGGTCATCGTGACCCAGTACTTTGGACTTTTTTCGGAAGTTGCGAGTTCGAGGCTTGTTGTCGTGTACTTGATTCAACTGAAGCAACTGGTCTTGCTTGATTGTATGAGGAGTACGTAGCTGTTGTCTGGGGGTTAGCCTACACTGGACCGGTATCTTGCCCAAGGGGTACGTGACATCATTCTCACCCCCTTGCGTCACTGAAACTGGAGCTCGGTACTAGCTCCCATGTGTCGTATAGTATGGAATTAAGCACAAAGCCACACAATGGGCTATCTGTGCTCTGCCTACTACGGGTATCGAAACCCGGTTTTTAGCGTTGTAACTCCGCAGACATACCGCTGTGCCACTGTAGTATAAACATGAGATGGGTTTGACTTTCAGTTGATGGGTCTTCTTTTTTAAATTATACGTTAAATAGTAACTTTATATTGAGTCAGATGGGGAGAGGGACTGCGTGCTTAGTTTATGACTGACGGGTAATTAATATTCTAAATACAAAGCGGTGCATGGCACAGAAAAACGAATCATTTAGAGAAAGGTTGCTAGGCAACTCACCAATACTTGATCGATATGTTTTCGGTCGAGTTAGTAAGAACTGCTTGCAGGTAAACAGAATAAAAAGTTGACACTCTCACTCAAGATCACTCAGTCTGATCATTTAGAAAAATTATGAATTACAATAAGTTATCAACTCGGCATTAGATTTAGTTACAAAATGGCGGAAAGCAGGAAAATTTGCCATTGAACATTAAACAATCTTGTTTTACATCGTAGCCTTTGCCCTTCGAATCATGGTTACTACAAAGTCCAGAAAATAAGTGCCTATTCGGACGTTGCATTCTCAGAAAAGGTTCCGTGAGTCAGTGTTACCTTCAGAAAATAAGAATGTTCTCCTATCAAATTTTACTAAATTTAATCGCGTTCTGTAAAATGTATTTACATCTGCTAAAACAGTAGTATGTGAGTCGTGGCGCCATTTACATTTTTAATGTCCATATACACAGTTTACGACGAAATTCTGACCATTCGACAGTGCAATGCCGCCAGGGTACCCTTATTGTAGGATTATTTCACAACCGGCTCCATGGTTGAGTGCAGAAGACCGCTCTGAAACGGCTCCATGGTTGAGTGCAGAAGACCGCTCTGAAACGGCTCCATGGTTGAGTGCAGAAGAACGCTCTGAAACGGCTCCATGGTTGATTGCAGAAGACCGCTCTGAAACGGCTCCATGGTTGAGTGCAGAAGAACGCTCTGAAACGGCTCCATGGTTGAGTGCAGAAGACCGCTCTGAAACGGCTCCATGGTTGAGTGCAGAAGAACGCTCTGAAACGGCTCCATGGTTGAGTGCAGAAGACCGCTCTGAAACGGTTCCAGTCAACCAATAGCTTTATCTGTAAAGTGAAGGCTGTGGTTAAATAAAGGGGACTCTTTGACCCGAAATTCCATTCTTATAAAGCGTATTCTCTCTTACCAGCCCCCCAGTGGCACAGCGGTATGTCTGCGGACTTACAACGCTAGAAACCTGATTTCGATACCCGTGGTGGGCAGAGCACAGATAGCCTATTGTGTAGCTTTGTGCTTAATTACAAACAAACAAACAAACCCTCTTACCATTAGCAAGATAATAAGTAAACCAGGATTTTACTGGGGGGAAAAAAATCACTATAAAATACTGAAGCTCATAATTAACGGATCTGTTTCATGAAAATAATGCCCGAAGTAGCTCAAGCGACAGCAACCTCATTCGACTTGGACATTTCTGCCATTGGTCTGTTTAAATGGGGTCTTGGAACTCACTTCTATGCAGATATGGAACCTGAGGAAAGCGTGTCAAGATGTATTTTCTATAAACACACCACGCCACGATTTTGTAGAATAGAAATTACGGTGCAGGGCAGTGTTGCGTAATAGCGGCTATCGGAATGAGCGCGATCGATGATGGAGTAAATAGTTCCAAGGGCGGCACGATACCTTCAGTTGTCAAACAACAATTGAGATAAACTCCAAGCGTAGCTAGGAAGTCTGTAGACTGTCAGATATTAATTGCTGTTCGCTACATGGCGAATTTAACAACACCAGGGAACAACTTAATAATCTTTGTGATTTCATCCTTTCCCTGATCTTCTACGGTTCCATACCAGTGTTTGTTTATTCTTTGGTACTTTTCTGGCCTGGCGGTTAGGGAGCACTCGACTCGCAATCTGAAGGTCCCGGGTTCGAATTCCCGTCACACTGAACGTGCTCGCCCTTTTAGCCGTGTGGGCGTTGTAACGGTACGTCCAATCCCACTACTGGTAAAAGATAAGCCCAAGAATTGGCGGTGGGTGGTGTTGACTAGCTGCCTTGCCTCGAGTCTATCACTGCTAAATTAAGGACGGCTAGCGCAGATAGCCCTCGTGTAGCTTTGCGCGAAATTCAAAACAAACCAAAACAATCGTATTTTTTACATTTCCTTCCTTATGCCCCCCCCCCCCAGTGGCACAGCGATATGTCTGCGGACTTACAACGCTAGAATCCGGGTTTCGATACCCGTGGTGGGCAGAGCACAGATAGCCC